CTATAAGTCAGAGTAACCTCAAAGTTACAAAGTGTATCATAAAAAACAACAACAAACTGAAAACTGAAATTCGAACAAATAAGTCGATTATAACATATGATCATGGAGCTATTATGTGCACTATTTTTAGTTGCATAATTACTATCAAATGATATCGCTAAGAACTGATTGATTCGCTAATTCGTACTGCGGTCAGTTTGCACAGCATTTACTTAGTTATTTCAGGTTGAAGACGTCATAAATATTGATATTGACAAGATTATAAAATTAAGATTCATGCGTTATCTCGCGAAAAAAGTCATGAGTATTAAAAAAATTATCGAAAATTGGAATGTCACCTGAAAGTTATACAAGCCCATGGAGATGATAAGTTAGATTCAACAGTTTTTTCAAATAACATCTATGAAAGCATACATATAAAAGGACCAACTAAACCTTTACATTGGCAAAGATTACACATCTTTTACGCTCTAGCTTAAAATGCCATCGTTAAAAAGTTCTATACTTTTCATATTAATGGTGGTGGACCTTTTTACCTGCGCACCTTTAAACCCAGTTTACCCTGTGTATGATTATATATAATGTAATATATTCAAATAAAGAAATTTATAATAAAATGCTGAAAATATAATACATACTTCATTTTAAAAACAAATATGTTTATTATTTCTTGTAAGTAAGTAATTGCATTTTATACAAACCCTCAACGTAAAATCTAAAACTGTTTAAATGCTGGGTTTTCATCACGATAATTACATTAGGTCTTTTCTCGTTGACATGTACAATTTGATTAAAGTGTTGTAATACAAAAACTGTTTTTGTACATATACTTTTTTACATACTTAGCTAAATGATGAGACATATATGGTTCTCAAAACTTATATATATATATATATATATATATATATATATATATATGTGTGTGTGTGTGTGTGTGTGTGTGTGTGTGATTTGCCATTTGTGATAATAAAAAATATATATTATACCACTGTGCACATACTCATACCATGGAGTAATAATATTTTCATCTGTTAATTACGATACAAAATTGTAAGTGTTTTTCGATTTTTATTGATTTTCTAAGAAATTTCATACATATTATTTATTTATTTTTAATTTTTATTATTAGTTACTTATATTGACAGCTACTGAATGAAGGCTAAAATACTAGCCGAAACGTATGGATTTTGAATACATTTCCAAAAACTCTCATACTATTTTTTATTGATGTAACACGCCCAATAACAAAATACTTAATTTTTTTTTCAGCTCACATATGTTAGAAGCCTTGCCCTATATTGGAAGTATAGCATCAGTACAGCTTATGAGAGATCAAATCTTGGCGAAAAATAGAATTACACAGGAAAAAGCACGCAGTTGGATGTGGTCATTCGCATTTACACAAAGGTGACACCAAAATAAAAATTTATTAAGAATAGCATACAGAATATTCAATGAGGATACAATTTTTCTATGATATCGCCACAGACGATTTATATTTGTTTCTAGTCTAGTCATCTAGTTCTTATTGGTAAACAATACAACTCATCACTTATGTTTTTCTCATACAAACTATTGAATTTGCATTTATACACTTGCAATTTCATTAATTGCACTGTATAAGTATTATTTGTATCTTCTTCGATAGTCCTCATCGATATGTTTTGAATATCACAAAAACTTCGAAGAAATGATATTAATATACTCTTTAAACCTCTTAAGATCAGCTGATATCACTAGCAACTGATCCATTATCGATTATCCATGTTGTCTTTCAGCAAACTACCCCAGACAATAGACATTCAACATAGAAATAATTCGCATAGAGCTAAAAATTAAACTAGCTGTAAGTGGAATTCTGTCTTAAGGCAATTAAGGCATCGTGCCTTAAGGCAAATTGCTGGAACTTCCCGCACCAAAATTATTATTTTTTTAAAAACGATTAACATTTTTGAAAAAAAAAAATACTTTGAAAAAATAAGATTTTTGAGAAACTATAAATTGGACAAAAAATTACTTTTTTTTGAAAAAATTTTTTTTTTAAAAAAAAAATTTTTTAATTTTTTTTTTTTTGCTTTTTTTTTTTTTTTGAAGAATTTTTTTTTATTTTGACATGTTGTGGAAGATCTGAACTTTCTTTTCAAAGCAATCGTACTGCTTTAACTGCATAGGGACAAAATATAAAGCGCGTAAGCGCCGCGTCGCTGTCTAACGCATAAGCATTGGTACGGAACCCATAGGAATGTTAACAAATTGTATACTTATTGTTAAAATCTCTATAAAATATCTGATAATTTGATGAGCATATGTCTAATGATCATTTTTGACCGCCAAATGGCTCATTTTTTACTTTTTCCTCCATATCTCCGAAACCGCTAGACCTACCTTCATGAAAATTGTATCGATTCTTCATTTTGTCAATACAAGTGAAATGTTTTTGAATTATTCAAATCGGACGCTCCGTTCTCTCAAAAACTGAGTTACCGTTTTCGGCACTTTTTGCCCCGTATCTTCGGAACGGCTAGACCTGCCTTCGCCAAAAACTAATCAGCACGTCTCCTTATCAATACGAATCGAATGTTCTTTGAATTATTCAAATCGGTTGACCCGTGTTCCCGAAATCGTCGACGAAAATTTGTATCCGCACATACATACACACACGTACATACATACATACATACACACACACAACACACACACACATACACACACACACACCCACAGGGCTGAGGAGAAACTGCTACCGGGCGCGTCTCCACGTGTGGATTGGAGAAAGCCCTCCCTGTTCTTGGCTCGCAAAGCCTGCTTAGCGGTTAAGAACATAGGGTAGGAGTGAAATAAAATAGCTCCCGTGTACAAAACTCCCTACATGTAGGTAGGGTTGGTCACTCCACCTGACCATGCAAAGCGGAAGAATGTCTAATGAATATGGAGAATAATAAAGTAGAATCGTTTACAGTACAGAGGGAGGGATACCTCAGTACCGGCGGCCGAGGGTTTGCGAACGGGCCCGAAGTCGTCGTCATCATGCGACCGTTTGGACAGCGTAGTGGACCCCATGGCTTCGCTGTCAAGAAATGCTACTGGGAGTATAAAAAAGAGCGTGGAAAATCAAAGGATGGAGGCACTGAAACGCCTCGAAACACTTCTTACTGACCTCCACAAGATGATTAAGTCGAAATCCAACATTCACATGGAGATTAAGACAAAAACGAGTAGTGTTGCAACTGCCATGACACGTTTTCTCGACCTCGATAATCGATGGTTGGAGAACCTACGGCATCCCTCACCAAAAAGAAATAGCCAAACTGTTGTGGCAATTGAAGAAGCGAGAGACACCGGAGCTGAAGCCGACGATGAATCGGTCGCTGAAGAAGTAAAAAAGAAGATCTTGAGCACTGGAAAGAGAAAGGACCGGAACTCTCCAGACCCGACGTATGGTCAGGTCGTAAAAAAGAAAGACCTAAAATCAAGTCCACCGAAAATCGTGGCAGAACAGAAAGCCAAACAAAAGGAGGTGACTGATTGGCATAAGGTTCAATCAAAAAAAGAAAAAAGAAGGCTAGCCAAAGAGCAGCTTGCAAAGCAGCAGCCAAAAGAGCGCCGGCCGGAACCTAAGAGGAAGAAAACGCGGAAATTTCTCAAACCAGACGTAGTCCTAATTCGACCAGCAGAAAAGGCAAAGTATGCCGAGATACTGCGTCGACTAAAACAGGACATTCCTGACGAGCAAGTCCAAACGACGGTAGATAAGATTAACAAGACCAGGACCGGAGACATGTTGCTTACAATCTCGAGAAAGTGTGCAGATAAAGGCCAAGCACTGCAACAGGCAATCGCGAGTATTCTTAAAGATGACGCCAAAGTGTTTTGCAAAGGGCCACAAGAAATAATCGAAATCAGAGACATTGATGACGATACAACTAAGGCCGACATTCAGACTGCTCTAAAAAATGCACTTGGAGAAGCCAGTGAAACACCGGCGGAGGCAATCAAGTTACGTAAAGCCTACAGAGGCACCCAGGTGGCTACAGTAACGTTACCAGCAGCCACGGCGCTGAAATTGCTTGAAGGAAACAGCAAAATCCGAATTGGCTGGGTAAACTGCCGTATAAAAACAACCAATAGGCCAACCAAGTGTTACAAATGTTGGCTTTTCGGGCATCACGGATTCCAGTGCAGAAGTAAAGTGATCCGTTCCAACCTTTGCATTAGGTGCGGACAAGAAGGACACAAGATCGCCAGTTGTCAGTTGTACAAATCCAGCAAAATGTGCACTATGCGCTGAACACCGAAGCGCAGAGGATGCTGCCCACCATGCAGGAACCTACAGATGTCCTGTATATAAAGAGGCACTCGAGAAGGCATCAATTAAAAAAGCATGAAGATATTGCAGCTAAATTTAAATCATTGTGAAGCTGCACATGATCTGCTTATGCAGACAGTACGAGAGCTGAAGCTTGATCTTGTGCTCCTAGCAGAGCCATACAAGCATCTAACTGGCGAACTATGGGAAGCGGACACAACCACTAAAGCTGTTATTTGGTCCAGTAACAAGCTTACCTTCCAGGGCACAATTACCAAACGCAGTGTCGGATTTGTATCAGCAACAATAGATGGCATCCGCTTCTACAGCTGTTATGCACCACCTAGCTTCTCCTTTGTGGAATTCACTGACTTTTTGGACCGACTGACCGAGGACGCTAAGCAACATCATCCAGTTGCGATAGCCGGAGACTTCAACTCCTGGGCAGTTGACTGGGGCAGCAAGTACACAAACGCACGAGGAAAAGCAATACTAGAAGCTTTTAGTAAACTAGATGTTGTCCTGCTCAATAATGGCGATACGCCGACCTACACCAAAGGCGAAGCAAGCTCGATTATAGACCTCACCTTCGTCAGCACTAGTCTCGTCAGAGGTAACTGTAACTGGAGGGTGATGGATATGTACACAGCCAGCGATCACAATGCAATACTTTGGGAAATATCGTCCAACAGAATCTTGAAAGACCTATCAAGCAAGTTAACAGCGCTGGTTGGAAAACAAAATCTTTTGACCGAGATGCATTGCTAATAGCCCTTGACGTTAACCCGATCAACACTGGATGCGCGGAAGAAAGAGCCAAAACCCTGATAAAAAGAATGACCCAGGCCTGTGATGCCAGTATGCCCCGAAAGGGTGGCATAAATTTAAGACCTGCCGTCTATTGGTGGAATGATAATATCAGCGCTCTTCGTAAAGAATGCCACAGAAAGAGAAGGATATCACAGCGTGGATATAAGCGACCTAACAGCGAGGAACTAATTGCAGAGTACAAAAAATCTCGTCGAGAATTGAATAGGGCCATCAAAGAAAGTAAACAAAGATGCTGGAAAGATCTCATTTGTGAGGTGGACAAAGACGTTTGGGGTAGACCTTATAAGGTGGTCATGAAACTGCTGAAAAAGCAGCAAGTGCAGTCGCCAACGTGTCCTCATTTTCTTCGGAAAGTTGTAACTGCGTTGTTTCCACAGCAGCGTAGTTTCAGCTACCAGTTGGCATTAAGTACTCTGGATGGCATCCCACCAGTAACTGAAGATGAGTTAATGGAGGCATGTAACCGCATTGGAAATAATAAAGCGCCAGGATTGGATGGTATTCCTAACATTGCACTAAAAACCATCATTAAGGCAGCGCCATCGCTATTTCTAGACGTTTACAACACATGCCTGAAAGAAGGGACTTTTCCCAGAAAGTGGAAGCAACAGCGGCTTGTACTTCTTCCTAAGAAAAATAAGCCGCCAGAAGAGCCTTCATCTTACCGTCCACTCTGCATGTTAGATACGGCTGGTAAGATATTGGAACGAATAATTCATCAAAGAATTGAGGCAGTCGTTGACCCACTTCTGGCGGACAACCAGTATGGATTCCGGAAAGGACGATCAACCCTGGACGCAATACAGCTAGTTGTCGATACTGCCAAAAAAGCGATCGAAGGAACAAGATGGAAGGGAGGTACAAAAGAGTACTGCCTTGTGGCCACACTAGACATCAGGAACGCTTTCAACTGCGCAAATTGGGACTGCATAATGCAAGCTCTTGTAGAAAAGAATGTACCGGGCTACATATGTAGAATAGTGGCAAGCTATTTTACGAATAGGGTCCTGAAGTATGACACGATGAACGGCCCAAAAGAATATAATATCACCGGAGGTGTTCCTCAAGGCTCAGTTCTTGGACCACTTCTGTGGAATGTTATGTATGACGGGCTTTTGAGATTAAAGATCCCAAGACGCGCCAAACTAGTGGCATACGCGGACGACGTAGCCGTAGTGATTGTTGCGAAACATGTAGACGAAATACGTCATATTTTCGACATTACCTTCGAGAAAGTAAACCGGTGGATGGATACTGTTAGTCTTCAACT